GTAGATTAATCCCCTGTTGGGATTAACTGAGCAGTGAGTGAAGGTAGGTAGAGTATGGCTGGAGGAAGTAGTTCCAGGGGGGCATAACTTTGGGTTATATATTTTGTATCTAGCAAGTGGAGTCTCTTTCTCTGTTTCCCGATCTTTGTGTGAGTCACTTCCCTTTGCCACACTCTTCCTCCTCACCTCAAGTCCTGAAAAATGAAGCCAGCTATCTATGAACTGAGACCTCTGAAACTGTGAGCACCCAAATAAACTTTTTCTCTTCTAAAATTGTTCTGGTCTGGACTTTCAGTCATAGTAGTAAAAAATCTGACTAAAACATAGGCTATTTCAAAAGTCTGCCTGGGATCAGACCTAGACCTTGAAAAGACAAGATAAAACCCCTATTTTTTTTCTTTCCTGGGACCAAGGACCGCCTATATTCCTAACACTCAAAGTTTGATAATATTTACGACATTAAGTAGGGTTATTTTCATTGGCTTGGGAAACTGTCCAAATAGCATACACTGCTCCTCCAAGAAAACACAGTTTAAATTTCAAGTAATCAATTTATAGACTCTTAGAATACAACTCTCAGTAGATGGCCTAAATAAAATGATTCCATTTACTTCAAGATTACAATAATCAATGTTTCCAAAATATCTTGCACAACTGTAGAATTTTATAACTGCCTATGAATTGTGCTAAAGATCAACAATAAGTGGTGTACTGAAGTCTAGATTTTGTGGCTTGCCCAGCACCAATCTGACTACCAACAAATAACACCCATAGAGCTGCTAGAAGAACTAATTATGACACTGCCATTAGTATTATATAATTTTTTTTGGTGCCTTGTACTGTGGGCATTTTGATGAGGAAGGCCACCTCTTAGGGTACATTCAGAAAATGTCAAAGATGAGATCTCTTATTATGGATCCCTGAGTTTTTCACACAGAGCCACAGGAACCACAACTCTTATTAGGTTGGTTAGCCTGGCAACTATACACATGTGACCAGGCTACTTTCAGTCTTTAAGTTTCTGGGAAAACCTAGGAGAACAAACAAAAATAAAATAGAATGACAACAACAGTAACTACAAAAACAAAGCAAAAACAAACAAAAAACCATAAGACAATCCCCACCTGAAATAAGTCTCTCAAAATCTATAACTTTCTTAGTAGTCAGAGTGTTTCTGTCCTGGCATTGCAAATGATACAAAGAAAAAAACCAATGTGCTATTCAACTAAAATTATTTAGTCTCAAATTATACATGACTCATGGAGAATATATGATAGAAATAGGCAGAAATAATGTTAGCAAAGTCAGAAAAAGTCTAAGCATATAACAGATGAGTACCAGAAAAATTATCAGCTTACCAGCACATTCCTCATTAGAACATACATTCACCATGGCTGTCCCTCTCACCTCCTCTGATGTCTATCCAAGCTTTTAGGGGTGTATGACAAGCCATTCTATCAAAGAACAAATTTCTTATAGCAACTGCAGAGTAAGTAGGTACTCTAAATTGATCCTAGTTGACTACAAAATTATACCATTCATTCAGTTTTCATAGTTGATGAAAACCAGCAAGAAAGTTATATAGCTTCTACTTTTTCTTTACTGGAAGTAAATAAAAGAACAACTTATAATTTAGTATAGAAATACAAATCATAAGACTGAATTAATATTTTAAAAGCTCCCAAAACAAAAACGTCAATCCAGAATTTAAACTTTACATAGAGAAATCATGAAGCAGAGACTATTCTACAGTTTAAATGATAAAATATATATGCTCCAAAAATTGTAGAATTGACAACTCTTTCCTTTGATTTTTAGTATCCTAAACATAATTATATTATGCATATTATTTGCTTATAAAGACTGAAATCACTTATACTTCTTTGTTTCTTCATTCTTCACTATAGTATGTGACCTACAGTAAATGCTCAACACATATTCCTTAAGTAAACTAGAAGTAAAAACTTAGATTAAAAACATAAATTTCTACCCCCAATCCTAAAATGCATAGGCATGTATATATGTACATATACATACATAAAGGCAAAAGATGCTATTTTAATTTTCGCTTTGATTTGCTGAAGAACTAGAAATTTCACATGTAAGCCATAAATTTTTCTAGGGAACAGTAATATAGACTTGATCTTAATCACAAGCAATGCCTCTAAGTTAAGATATCTTAAGAAACTGATGTTATGTTATAAGGCTTTAAATCCCAAACTGAGGTTGTCTTATAGAAAATGGAAAAAAAAAATATATATATATATATCAAATTCTTCTGAGACCTATCTCCATAATTTTTAAAGAACTTAAAAAAAAAGTGTCAGTAACACTCACCACCCTTATTGTTTACTGTGTACCAAGGATTACACTGAATACTTTGCCATAGTATGTCATTTAACCCCCAAAAATGATGAGATAAGTATTATCACCCTATTTTACTAAGAAATATCTTTAAACTATCAGGAAAACGACTCTTAGCTTTAGGAATGATCTGAACCAGCATTCACATTTTAAACACTGAACAAAAAATTAAAAAAAGGAAGAATAAAAAGGTATCCACTAAGGGCAAATAAATAGACATTGAGGAAAATATACAAAGGGCAAAGTCTTAGGAAAATGTCTAAGTTGTCTAAGAAATGATCAGGATGTAGATCATTAGTTAACTAGCAGGAACTATGTAGACCAGAGAGAGAAGTTTTGGATAAGCTGCAGAGGAAAAGTAAGTATTTTTTATTTTTTCCTGAAAGTACTAGGGAAATAAATAGGTAATAATAATAATGATGATGATTTTTATAGTAGCAGCTACTATTTACTGAATCCCTGAGAATTAATGTAGGTTTTATGCCCAAAACTTCACAGAATTCAAATGCACTCCTGCGTTGTTTCAAAGCCAGTGCTGTCCTTAACTTGTATGTTATAATGTCTCTTATAAAAGATCCTGGTAGGTCACATAATTATACCATCTTATTAAAAAAAACATAAATCTTCAGGAAAAAGAGATGTTAAAGAACATGTACTGCTTGAAACTTAGATCTAAGTGAAGACCTTTTCTGAGCTACTGAAACCATTTATTTATTTGCTTTCTGGACATAGTCACTGGGAGGCTCTAAAGGCAATCCCACAACCAATCAACCAAAAAGAAACTCATCTATCACCATCCTAACACATTTCCTTATTTCCTTTTTGGTTCAGAATCTCTCAATTATCCATACTATTATGCATAAAAACAAAACAAAACAAAAACTCCAGAATTAATTGTCTAGTCTCATATCACCATTATTTCTACTTCTAATTTTACCACAATTATAAATGATAATAAGTAGCAAAGTAGGCCAACCTGAACTGTACTTATCCTTTCTACTGGTATGAAAAAGAGTATGAGTTTGAGAATCTGTCATATAGACCATTTTCAACATTTCCCACCTACATGGCCTAAAACCAGTTTACTCTATATAACACTTATATTTATCTTCAAAGCAAACACTCCTACCAGAAGTAAGGTTATTTTTCTTAATTTTCCTGTGAAACATCCACAGTAAAATGGTTGTAAGTAGTGATCAGAGTACCACAGCAGTGAAATGACAATGTCCTAGTCTAACATTCTAAGAAATGAAGACTTCTCACTTGAAGTAAAGAGATGTCTGAGATAACATCAATACACTCATAATGGAGGAAGGGGCTCTACGGAGCTTCAGTAACAAAAGGGTAAAGAAAGAAATCAGAAAGCTGTTGAGATATAAATGCAAAGCACAAAGTCCTAAGTAGCTTCCATTTAACATCTCAGAGGAGTTAGTACAGTGAGCAGAATAAGCCCTCAAAAGAATACATACCATACCATTCCTTTTGTATGAAATCTGTTAACAGGCAAAAACAAAATTTTGATGGAAGAAGTTAGAACAGTGGTTACTTTCAGGTGCAGAGGGAAAGATACTGTCCAGGAGAGAGTATTTATGCGTTATAAACCTGTTCTCCATCTGTACCTTGATTCTTCATGAGTGCACACATACATAAAAATTAATTGGGCTGAACATGTAATATCTGTGCACTTCACATAAAATAGTACTCCAAATAAAAACAAATCATAGAGACTGGAGGTCAAATTAGAACAAGGACCATAAAATTCCTGTAGGATTTTGTAAATTCTAGATTTTCCATTTTAATTTTTTTGTTGCCATTGATTTCTTTATGGTGAGAAACAGTACATATTATAAAAAGTAAGTTCAGGGCTGGGGTTGTGGCTCAGTGGTAGAGTGCTTGCCTAGTATGTGCGGGGCCCTGGGTTCGATCCTCAGTACCATGTAACAATAAATAAATAAAATAAAGATATTGTATCCAACTACAACTAAAAAATAAATAGTCTTTAAAAAAATAAGTTCAGTGTTTCTTTGAAAGTAGTTAGAAGGTGGCAGCTGGGTAGTCTAGTTAGGTTTTAGGGAGTCAGAAATGGAAAGAACCAAGTAAGAGGTGGTAGACAAGTACCTGAGAGAAGAAAAAAAGAATACAAGAACACAGTTTGGACCAGATAAGGAGGTAGAAATTCCAGAGCTTCTCAACAGTTAATCTATCCACATATCATAATATGATGATGTCCTGGTATCCTATAGATAATTATTAAATTTATCTACTTGTGTGATTAAAAATATACTTCCTCAAAAAAAATTTAGGAAGTATTTCCTCCCAAATCACTATTTATAAGATCTAATTTTATATATATACTCTACCATAACAATCGTTAGCTCTGGAAAATGCCAGGAAAAGGCTTCATTAGCTGTTGAACCATGCGCTGTGCTTCTCTGACACATTTATGGAAGATGTTTCTGAGTCACAAAGAAGGGGGTATGAAACCAACAAACAAACCAACCTAGATTAAATAATTTTTTATAGTCTCACCATTCAACAAAAGAAAAAAAAATGATGTAGTGATCTAAGACAAAGACAATATAATGAACAAGACTCTACAACAAACCCTCTATCTAAATGGATTACTCCACTCTCACCTTTATCGCGATCATAGAGCAAATCTTCTGTTGAACAAGGGCTACCATCCTGGGATTCCGGAGGACAAAAAGGGGACACACAGGGTGAATGACTGCTGCAACTACTGCTGCGCTCCTGCACAGAAGGTGTCTGAGTATCTATGCTGCGAGTACTACTGCTCCGATAGTGAGCCGGGAGTGGAGCTCTTCGACCATCTGGTATGTCCAAAGGCTGTTAAGAACAACATTATTAGCATGCGGACAATAGTGCATACTCTATACAGAAAGCACATGATAGAATTTCTGATTTTGTATTCCACCACTATTAATTTATTCTTCAGACAATAGATACCACAGCCAAACACGTTAGTTTTATAGAACCAAAAATTTCTTTCAAATCACACTGTTTATCTTGAAAATTCTATGGCTCCCTGTATGTATTTGAAGGTTAGCACTTCCCACAATACTCCTCAAAAACAGGAGGAGTTTAACACTGTAACCCTAATGCCCAGTATATGCACATAACATTCAATAAACAATTGCTGAATTTAATGAACAGTAAAAAAAAAAAAAAAAAAAAAAAAAACTGCTAGCAAGAAAAAGTAAAATCTCCTTCATAGGTATAATTTTTCTGTTTGCTAATTCTAATTTTAATTTTCTAAAGGCCAAAAATAGAACCATATTTCTATTTCCTTTGCAAATTACCCAAGATTTCTGAAAGGTTTATTCTGCTAGCATTCAATAAAGGATATTAACACAAAACAATTCTACTAATTTGGTTCCCAACTAAGTATGACTAATCATAATTCTTAGTTCTAAGTGCATTGTTTTAAAGTGGTAAAAAGAAGAAATAAAAAAGAAAACCAAAATGTATTTTAAGAAAAACAATGTATTTTGGATTAGAGGCACTTAAAACTTGCCAGGCCAATGTCTTGTTTTTACAAATAAGAAGTTCAGAACTCCTGTTGCCACAGCCTATTAAGTGACATCTATACTGCTAAGTAAACTCTTTCTATTCTACTATTCCTCTACTACAAAAATAGATCTCATTCAATTTTCCTCATTTGTATACTAACAAAGTACAGTCAAAAAGTAAAATTCTATATGTTAAATTCTTAAATAATATTAGTTTACTTACAATATATTTTCACTACAGTGTCTAAATGTTCTTTCTCTGACCTTGGTCATTTCAGAGATTTCAGAAACAAGGTCAGGGAGGAAATGGAAGAAAGTAAAACTAGGCAAGATTCAAAATGTAGCAATATTTTCTGCAAAAAAAAAAACAAGTGAAGGCTGAAACCTGACACTACTGAAATAAAAACAATTTATTGATGTAATGTTGCTTAACAAAAATGATGCCAACTTTATAACCTGAAAATGACTACTCCACTGTATGGGGAATATTGAACTATTTAAATGTCAGTTCTCTTTGTAAATAAAGTAAAACTCTCTAATTTAGGAATTAAACAAAGAAGTATTAATTTACTTGGTCAAATTATGACAGAAAAAAATGTTACTGTAATCAAAGTGTCAATGTGGGCAATCAGTTAAAGAAAAATGTACCAATTTGCAGCTAAAAAAGTATAAGAATGTGAGTTTTTTTTTTCATTCATGTCCTATTTGATAAATACAATTTCTCTGTATTTCCACTTCTTAGTCTATAACTGAATAAAATATATTAATTTACTTAACCAACTTTTGTTTTGTTTGGCAGGTAGAATTACAACAACAAAACATATTGTAGAAATCCATAAATTTATACAAAATAACAATAGAAAATATGAAGGCTTGGAATATGGGCATAGTTAATGTGACAATTTTCATTTTTAGCTACAGGCAGACATTTTGATTTATTAAGATTTTAAGGTATAGTCATGAATCTAAAGTTTCTAAAAATTAGTATTTTAGTACAACTAAATAGATTATCCCAAAATAATTCTGAAATGGCTACCCCTAATTAGAATATAAGTCATTTGAAAGCAGAACTATTTTAACATAGAATACAGAGATAAACCCACACAGATATGGTCATCTTATCTTTGACAAAGGTGCCAAAGTCAGTCTTAACAAATGGTGCTGGGGAAACTAGATAACTATTTATAGAAGAATGAAATTAGACGTATATCTATCACCTAGCACAAAAGTCAATTCAAAGTGGATGAAACACCTAGACCTAGGAATTAGACCGGAAACTGTGCAACTGATAGAAGAAAACACAGGGTTAACATTCTGACATAGGGGCACAGGCATCAACTTCCTTAATAACATCACCAATTCACAAGAAATAAAATCAATAAGCAATATATGGGATGGCATAATATTATAAAGTTTCTGCATAGCAAAGGAAACAAGAGAGAGAAAAGAGATCCTATGAGAGAAAAATCTTTGCCAGTTACACTTCTGACAGAGAATTAATATCCAAAATATATAAAGAACTCAAAAAACACCAAAAACCCAATCAATAAATGTACAAATGAACTAAGCAGACATTTCTCAAAGGGAGAAATGCAAATGGCCAACAAATACATGAAAAAATAATCAACATCATTAGTGATCAAGAAAATGCAAACTTAAACTATACTGAGATTTCATCTCATCCTAGTTCAATAACCTTCAAGAGTATAAATAATAAAAAATACTGGCGAGAATGTAGAGATAAAGGAACATCTATAGAATTTTTGGTAGAGCTGCAAATTAGTACATCCACCTTGGAAATTAATATGGATATCCCTCAAAAGACTCTGAATGGAATCACAAATGACCCAGCTATCCCACTTCTCAGTATTTATCTAGAAGAAATGAAATCAGCACACCACAGTGATAACATGCATTCCAATATTTATAACAGCACAATTTATAATAGTTATGGAACCAGTATGGAAAAAGTTATGGAACCAGACTAAGCATTTATCAATAGATGAGTGAATAAGAAAATGCAGCATATATACACAATGGAGTTTTATTTAGCCACAAAGAAGAATGAAGTTTTGCCATTTGCTGTTAAATGGGTGGAACTGGAGAATATCATGCTAAGTAAAATAAACCAGACTCAGGAAGTCAAGGGCTGAATGTTTTCTCTCATATGTTGAAGCTCATAAGAAAAAAAGGGGGATTTCACAAAAATAGAAGGGAGATCAGTAGAGTAGAGGTAGAGTTCAAGAAGGAGGGAAAAGAAAGAAAAAGGGGAAGAACTGGGGAATAAAAATGACCATTTGTCAAAATAAATACCACTTTTATGTATAATTATAATGCACTAATAAAAAAGTTTGAATAAATAGAAGAAAGATCAGAAGTGTAGAGGAAGGAAAACAGGGAAAGAGAGTAGAAAAGGGGGAGGGGAAGTACTAGAGAAAGAAACAGAGCAAACTATGTGTATATATGGATATTTACAACAAATCCCATATTGCCATATTGTGTACAAATCATAATGCACTAATAAAACATTTTTTAAAATATGACCAAATAGAAGGTTCACAGGCAATAGTGTCCAGATTTCATTTCTGGGATTGAGGTGGCAATTTACAAAGTATTTTTGATTAATTCAAAATGGATCCAAGTCCTAAATGTAAGAGAGAACTAAAACCATAAAAGTCAGAAGGCAGCACAAAAGTAAATCATTACAACATTGAACAGTGCTTTCTTAGCTATTATACTGAAAGTATAAGAAAAATAAATAAATGTCTTTTTATTAAAATAGAAATGTTCTTCAAAGAGCATAATAAAGAAAGTGAAAAGACAAGTGATGGAATATAGGACATAGTATTTGCAAATGATATATCTGATAAGATGCTTGTCTCTGGAAAATAAAGATCTTCATAAAGTACTTTTACAACTCAGTAATAAACAAAAGAATCCAAATTTGTAAATAGAGAAAAGGGTCTAAATAAAAATTTCTCCAAATAAGATATAGAAGTCACCAATAATTCATGAAAATATGCTTAACATCATTAGCCATTAGGAAACGCAATTCAATATGATGATGAGATGCTACTACAAAGGCTATAATAAAAAAAGACAGATAATTACAATCACTGGCAAGGATGTAGAGAAACAATAACCCTCATACACTGCTGATGGGAATGTCATGTAGACACTTTGAAAAAGTCTGGCAGGTCTCCAAAAGGCTAAATGTAAGTTACCATATTTGCAATTCCAATCCTAGGTATACACTCAAGAGAAATGAAAAAATGCTAACATGAAAATTTCTATAGAAATGTTCATAGCAGCATTATTCATAATAGCCCAAAACCAGAAATAACTTAAATGTACATGGGTTGATGACTGGATAAATAAAATCTGTACAAATGAGTAATGTTGGGCAATAAAAAGATATGCTGGATATGCTAAAACATGGATGAATGTTAGAAATGCTTTGCTAAGTGAAAAAAGCCAGTTACAAAATGCTACATATTATATGATTCTATTTTTCTGAAGTATCTAGAATAGGGAGAAGACTAGTGGTTACCTAGAGCCTCGAGTGTTAGAAATAAGAGGTTACTGCCAAAGAGTATGAAGCTTCTTCCTGGGGTGATGGAAGTGCACTGATGTTGGTGATGGTTTGCACAACTCTATGAACTACTGAATTGTGTACTGAGTAAATTATATGGTATGTAAATTATTTTTCTGAACAGCTGCTACCAAAAAAAGTATTTTTGAGATAGTTTGTAATATTACAGAAAAAAAGAATTCAAATATCCCATGGAATCTTACCTTGGACACTTCCTCTTTCCCATTGTTTTCCTTAATAAATACTTTTTCCAATTCAGGACTTATTCCTTCTACATTGCAGGGCACACGTGAAACAGACGATTTTGGCACCGATACATTTGACAGTGGCATAGGAACTGACCTTGATCCAGGAGCCTGAGACAAAAGATAAAGTAGTGTCAAATTATTTGTAATCAAAGCAATCAAGAACTAAAAATAATGGTAAATCTTAAAAAATCAAAAAGCTATGGATATACTCAGTAGTAGAGTTCTTGCCCAGGTATATGCAAGGCCCACCAAAAAAACAAACAAAAAACCCTTCAAATTAAAACTCATGAATAGTGTCACTTTGACATTTTAAAAACAGTAAGAATTTAGGTACATGTACAAAAATTTAGGTTCTAAAGTAAGGTAAAAATTACATAAGAGTCAAAATAATCCTTGAAAATCCCTTTATGCAAATGTCAAGGTATAACTGTATAATGTACACATTTATTCAATAGGATGACAGACATAGTCTTCGGCACAGTTTCATTCATTTCCCTTTTTCTGTTTTATTGGGAAAAGTATAGTTGAAATCATGTAAGTTATAATATGTCTCCACCATACAGATCTGTGTGCTTAAAAGATGTTTCCTATATAGTGACAAGTGACCTTTTAGTATAATTTTTCATTTCCACTTTGTTAACCACTTAAGAAAACCTACTAGGGGCTGGGATTGTGGCTCACTGGTACAGCATTTGCCTACCATGTGTGAGGCACTGGGTTCAGTCCTCAACACCACATAAAAATAAATAAAAATAAAGGTATTTCTGTCTATCTATAACTAAAAAAAAATACCTACTGGATTATTAAGCAATATAGCAATAATATTGCTAAACTCAACACTCATTTAACAACTTTAAGGTTTTCAAATGTTTTTTGCCGGCATTCTCCAAAATTAAGCATCTCTGATAGTTGTAACGGTTACCGAAAAGTGTCAATGAATCCTTTCCATGATCAAGGAAATCATAAAATGGGAAGGAAATAAGACAGATTAACAAGGTAAAGGTTAAAACAATGTGTGATCTCAGCTTACATGATTAAAATTGACATATATGATCTGTAATGAGGCAGACTTCCAGTTGCTGGTCAGCATGAGTGTTTCCCATACTCAGTGCTATGCTCCTGCCATTTGTGAACTGGTGCCCATTCATGAGCTCTGTCTTTTATATTATCTTCCCATCCATTAGTATGTGAAGACTTCCCATTTATATCTCTCTTTTATTTTTCATGCACTCAATAAAGATATATATATTCTGCATATTTCTTTTAAGTTTAATTTTATATTTTTTCATTATATTTAACATTATTGCTACTGCAAAAAAAACTAACAAAATTTTTCTCTTTACATTTTGGCTAGTCATCTCACTAAATTTCAATTTTCCCCCTTTTTTATTAAGCAAAATTCCAAACATAAACAAAAGTAGATAGAATGGCATAAGCCCTTAGGAATGTATCAACCAGCTTCAAATAGTATCAACATCTGACAATTTAATCTAAAAACCTTTTTTTGGGCTGCTGTTCTTTAAGTACTTAAAGCACATTCTAGATTTCATATGTAACTAAAAAATACTTGTGTATCAAAAGATAATTTTTCCCACATTTTTATTGGTTTTGTTGGTGAATTATAGTTATACATATTGATGGGATTTGTTGTTACATATTTGTACAATGCTTGATCTTCAGAGCTGGATTTATTTTGCTTAATATCATGGTCTCTAGTTCCATCCATTTTCTTGCAAATATCATAATTTCATTTGTCTTTATGGCTGAATAAAATTCCATGGTGTATTGTCTTTATCCATTCATCTGTCAATGAAAACCTAGGCTGATTCCACAGTTTGGCTATTGTTAACTGTGCCACTATAAACACGGGTATGCCCTCCTTACTGTAGTAAGATGACTTTTATTCTTGAAGATAAATACCAAGGAGTGGTATAGCTGGGTCATCTGGTGGTTCCATGCCTAGTCTTTTGAGGATCCTCAATACAGACTTCCAATAGTGCCTAAAAGAGTTCCTTTTTCTCCACATCCTCTCGAGCATTATTATTTTTTCTTGATGACTGACATTCTGACTGGTGTGAGATCTCAGTGTAGTTTTTGATTTGCATTTCCCCAATTGCTAATGATGTTGAACATTTTTTCATGTATTTCTTGGCCATTTGTATTTTTTCTTTTGAGAAGTTGTCTATTTAATTCATTTGCCCATTTATTAATTCAGTTATTTGATTGTTAGTCTAAAAATTTTTGAGCTCTTTAAAATATATTCTAGATATTAGTCTTATTAGAAGAACAGCTAGAATAGATTTTTTTTTCCCATTCAGTGATTTCTCTTTATATTCCTAATTGTTTCCTTTGCTGTACAGAAGATTTTTATCTGATGCTGTCCTGTTTATTAACTCTTAGTGTTATGTATTGAGCCTTAGGGCTCCTATTGAGAAAAGTCATTGTCTATGCCTAAAAGTTGGAGTGCTGGCCCTATATTTTCTTTTAGGAGTTGCATTTTCTTCTAGGAATTCCCTTTTGATTTTGAAGGACAGCTTTCTGGACAAAGCAATATTGGTTCACAAATATTTTCTTTTGGGACTTGGAACACATCATTCCAAACAATCCTGGCTTTTAGAGTTTGTGCTGAGCAATCAGAAGTAACCCTGATTGGCTTGCCTCTAAACCATCTGACATTTTTCTCTTGAGGCTTTTAAAATTCTATCCTTATTCTGTATGATAGGCATTTTATTATAATATGTTATATATTATGGAGACATTAATGGTGGGGACATAAGTTATAAGAGCAAATTAGTGCTAAAAGATGGTAAAAATACAGTAATTAAGAGGAAAGACAATGTGTTAGGAAGATAAAAGAATTTTCAGTTTCAAAAAGTGAAGTGAAGAGGTTCTTTTTTGATCTTTTCTATTGTGTTCTGAATGCCTCCTCTATTTGGATATACATCTCATTCTGAAGGATTGCAAAAGTTTCTGTTACTGTTTCCCTATAGAGTTTATCCATTCCATTAGCCCACATCTCACAGCCCTCCTCAATTCCAGTGATCTCTTCATGTTGTCCCAGAGTTCTTGTATATTCTGATCATGTATATTTTTTTCCTTTACTGCTATCTGAATGTTCAAGGCTGACCACTTTGTCTTACAGCTCTGAGATTCTGTCTTCAGCATGTTCTATTTTATTAGACTTTTAAATGAACATTTTGATTTATTGAGTCTTCTATTTCTAAGATTTGTTTGGTTCTTTTTCAATATTTCTATCTTCTCACTGAATTTCTCATTCATATTCTAATTCACTCAGTTGGTTTTCTGTGTTTTCTTGGAATTCACTGAGTATTTTTATAATAATTCCTTTGAATTCCTTATCTGATAATTCATCCACTCAATACTTTTGGGGTCATCAACTTGTGAATCATAAATTTTAGTAGATGTTGTACTAGCTTGTTTTTCCATATTTCTTGTATTCCTGTAGTGGATTTTATGCATCTGTTAGAAGGGATTTTTCTTCCATTCTTATGTTTGAGCCTTTTTAGGATACAATCTTTCCTTGCTAAAATTTCCTAGAGTGATCTAGATTGAGGACACCTTATAGGTGTGGTATCTGCAGGTTTTCTGTTATTTCTGTTTTTGCTATAGCAATGGAAATCCCTAGAGGGACCTGGGGGCCACATCTAATCCTTTCTACTTGGGGGCTTGGTTGTTAGATTGGATTTTTGTCTCTTATTCTTTGCACTGAAGTATAGCTGAAGATTAAGTGTCATTAATTTTTGTGTGGAACAAGGAGCACTGTCAACAAGAAAAAATATCTACATTTAAAAATAACTAAAATGGGGAAAAAAAGAAACAAATATGCATATGTGTCCATTAACCATCAGCACAGCAAACACACACACACACACACACACCAAAAAAAAAGAAAGAAAGACATTCTTAATGAAAAAGGAAGGCATCATTTCTACAGAGGTGGTCAAAATAGTTGGTGAGAATAGATGGTCACCCTCTACGCCTGATTGTCTTTCTTTCCATTTATACTTGAGGTAAATAAGAGGCTGAGAGTATATACTAAGAAATTGTTAACCCCTTCCTCTTTTTTGTGTAGCAGTCTTGGAGTGGCCCAAGACTGAAGCTGGTTTAAATAATTCTTGCAGCTTCTCTTCTCCCCAGTATGAGGTAGGATGGGATGGGAAGTACTGTCAATTGAATTTTGTCTACACAGACCAGACAAATGTACTCAATCGCTGCTCAGAATTCTATGAGTGGAGTTTCAGCAGGTAGGGCTTAGGTTTAATCAGGCCTCAGAGGCTTTTTTGGGTGGTGTTTGTTCTGGGGTAATTAAATCAACATACCCCTGGCAGCTGCCAATCTCTGCTGCATGTCTGGAACTCAGAAATCTCTGAAGGATTTTACTCATGGAGTGGGAACCAATCCTCAATCCCTTTGCTGCCCATGAACACATGCTTCCCAGGCTTCCTGGGCTTAGTCCCTAAGTATATACACACTGGCCTATTCAGATTCCCAACCCACTTCAGCAGGTCATATCAGTTTCCAGACTCAAAGCAGGAAGAGGGTTGGGCTCCCCTTCACTTTTCTGACTTGAATTCTCCTGGGTAAAATATTCTCTGTGTCTGTTTCGCTTTCTTTTGCTAGATACACCCTAGGTGACATGGTAGGCACTTGCTAGGACAGTGTAGCTCAGATCTCCTGGCTCCCGCAGCAGAAGCTATAGCGTGGCCACCTCAAAATGGCTCCAGCTCAGTCTCTGAGGCCAGTTGGGAAACACAGGGCACTTTTCAAGCACCAGTTCATAGTGCAGCCTTTGGATCAGGTTAAAGGCAGTCTGATCTCAATTTTTTTTTTTTATACTAAATCTTTCCCTTATCTTTCTTTCTGTGTTTTCCCTCCACTTTGTGCTGAACTAGTGCCACTACCATTGCTGCTGCAACTGGCTTGGCTTCAAGGTAGTCTCTTTCTTGTTTAATATACCCAAATTTCTGAATCTCTAAGACACTCTGTCCAATACTGAGTTTTAATGAAATCCCTCCTTCACCCACCTCACTGAGAAACAGTACTCCTGCTGCTTGAGTCACGAGGAATGGAGCAACTAGGAATGTAGCTTTCCTCTAATCCACCTTCTTGAATCTCAAAATAATTATTTTTAAGTAAATTTGAAAACTGTGTAAGTTTTTTCACTAAATCAACAAGTCAATTAATCTGACATAAATGTACTATATTCCTAGAGATAGTGTTTAAAATAAATTGAATAATATGCCAATTCTATCAGATTATGAAGAAAGGCAGGCATATATAAATTTTCATTTCAAATGACTAAGGCTTGTCTGTTTGCTTTATACCTTTGATGAGGTATTATCAATATATAATAAAATCACCACATTTTAAGTATGCCATTAGTTGAGCTTTGATAAACATAGTCATTATCAACATAGCCACATTTATAACCTCTATCCCTCCCTCTGCTGCAAATTCCCTAGGACCTTTCTGCAGTTAATTTCCATCTCTAATACTCTGTTTCTATAATTTTGTCTTTTTGAGAATATAGCAAACCATACAGTATTTAGATTTTTGCTCCTAAATTCTTTTACTCAGCATAATGTTTTTGATATTCAACCATCACATCACATGGATCAGTTCTCCCTTCTGTTTCACTACGGAGTAGTATTATACTGTATGGATATGGATTATTTATTGACTGGAATATCTATTGACTAGTGATGAATATTTGTTTCTGTGTTTTTATTACTAGTAGTAATGCCTTCAAAACATCCATGTTCAAGTTTTTGTGTGGATATATGCTTTTATTTCTTGTGAATAGATACCAAAGAGTGGAAATTCTGGGTTGTTCAATGTATTTTTAATTTCTCAAGAAAATGATGAACTGACAAGGTGGTTTACATCAACATTTGTAAATTTATTTGAGCTAGAGCAGCTTTCTTAAATTTTTTTTCCTTGGGATATATTTGTTACTACATTTTTTTGAGGGGGGGCTTAAAAACTCTATGAATTCCTTCATAAGTAAAATAGAGGTAAAATACAGAAATACATGTGTTAAAGAACTATTAGGAAGATTAAACAAGAAGTGCCCATACTTGTTCAATAAGTACATCAGGTCAGTATCCTCCTTCAGACCACTATATTCTGTGATATCTGTTATTAAAAGGTTAAAAATAAGTTTTTAAAAAAATCTTATAGCAATTTAACAAACAATAGTAAAGGTTTCGTTGTATTTTTTAACTCCCCAAATTATTAATTCTCCCTTAACAATGAATTGAAAGGAATTTTTCAAATCCAAACAAGAAGAATTTTGCTTACCTGAGTGTGACTGATTGTTATATGGGTGCCATGGAGAGGAGATTGCCGATCCTTTTCCTTACTGTGACGACTACTTTGTTTACTACGTTGAAGCTGTTGCCTCAGTTTGGCAATCTGCTTTGGTGGGAGGGAAGGAGAGGTAAGAAAACAAAAGTGAATACCCATTTTTTCACATTTTTCTTCAGGTTTGGGAAATTGATAAATGACTTTTTACTCAAAGGTTTCAAGAGATAATACTTAACCACAATGATTTATTCTTGCAAGATTTTTTTAATTAAGGCTATTGAAAATAAGAAATGTATGCTACAAATGTTTCACTTCTACAAATTTAAATACTGTTATTGGTAAATAGGTAGACTCAATTCCCAAGGATTATGTCAGATTTTATCTATATAATGCCAGAAATAGCTTCCTTTGTAAAAACAAGGTGAGAAATATTTCAGTTGCCTATTGACTGAGCTTAAACTTGATCTCTTAAAATAGGGACCACATTCATTTCTGAGTTCCTATCTTATGTAAACAAATGAATTTCACTTATAAACTACTAAACATTTTAAAATTGGAATCCCAATGGTGGTAAGAAGTATCGATGCTATTTAGTATTAAAAACTTCTTAGTATCTTACTATCGTATTACTTTTTAGTCATATTCTTTTAAAAATAAATCTAATTTACAATATGTTCTCCTAAATGGGAAGGTCACACTCCTAGGTTTAACAACAACAAAAATTTGACTATAACATGACCTGAAATCATTAAACTGCTTAAACATTTCAGGCAGTGTATAAATAACAGTAAATTCCTGAGCATTATAAAGGAAAGGGAATTACTATGGTATGGATATAGTTTAAGCATGTCTCTCAAGCATTCATGTTTGTTGGAAGCTTAGTCCTCATTGTGGCAATGCAAAGAAGTAGTGGAACCTTTAAAAGGTAAAGCCTAGTGGAAGGTTATATGGAACCTTTAAAAGGTGAGGTCCAGTGGAATGTGATTAGGTCATTAGGGGTGCTGTCCTCAGAAAGAATTAGTATACTTCTCATGGAATTCTGGGTAATTTTCATAAGGGTTGTTACAAAACACCAAGATTGGCTCTCTTGAGCCCTGTATCTCCATGTGATCGCTTTCTCATGCATCCTTCCACCACAATGCCATCTGTCATGATGTGACACAGCTAAGAGAGTCCTCACCAGAAGCCAAACCAGATGGGGTTAGACTTTCCTTCTCTAAAACTGTAAGATAAATCAACTTCTTTAGACAATATTCAGGTATTTTGTTTAAAGAGACCCAGAACAGCTAAAGCAATTCTAAGCAGGAAGAGTGAAACAGGTGGTATCACTATACTCAACCTTAAACTACACTACAGAGCAATAGTAACAAAAACAGCACGGTACTGGCACCAAAACAGGATGGTAGACCAATGGTACAGAATAAAGGACACAGAGACTAACCCACAAATAGACAACTATCTTATATTAGACAAAGGTGCCAAAATCATGCACTGGAGAAAGGATAGCATCTTCAACAAATGGTGCTGGGAAAACTGGAAATCCATATGCAACAAAATGAAATTAAATCTCTATCTCTCACCATGCACGAAAGTTAACTCAAAATGGATCAAGGATCTAGGAATTAAACCAGGAACTCTGCGTCTAATAGAAGAAAAAGTAGGCCCTAATCTTCATCATGTGGGGCTAGGCACATAAGACGCCTATAGCACAAGAATTAAAACCAAGAATCAATAAATGGGATGAATTCAAACGAAATAGTTTTTTATCAGCAAAAGAAATAATCTGTGAGGTGAACAGGAAGCCTACATCCTGGGAACAAACTTTTACCCCTCAAACATCAGATAGAGCACTAATCTCTAGGGTATATAAGGAGCTCAACAAGATTAGCACCAAAAAAAAGCCAAATAATCCAATCAATAAATGGGCAAAGGACCTGAACAGATACTTCTCAGAAAAGGATATACAATCAATCAACAATTATACAAAAAAATGCTCATCATCTCTAGCAATCAGAGAAATGCAAATCAAAACTACTATAAGATATCATCTCACTCCAGTAAGAATGGCAGCCATTATGAAGACAAACAACAAGAATTGGTGAAGATGTGGGGAAAAAGGTACACTCATACATTGCTGGTGGGACTGCAAATTAGTGTAGCCAGTTTGAAAAGCAATATGGAGATTCCTTGGAAAGCTGGGAATGGAACTACCATTTGACCCAGCTATTCCTCTTCTCAGACTATACCCAAAGGACCATACTACAGGGAAACAGCCACATCAATGTTTATAGCAGCACAATTTACAATAGATAAACTGTGGAGCCAACCTAGATGTCCTTCAGTGGATGAATGGATAAAAGAAAAAATGTGGCATTTATACACAATGAATATTACTCAGCACTAAAAAAGAATAAAATCATGGCATTTGCAGGGAAACGGATGGCATTGGAGCAGATTACGCTAGGTGAAGTTAGCCAAATCCAAAAAAAAAAAAAAAAAGTTGAATGTCTTCTCTGATATAAGGGGGGTGACTCAAAATGGAGTAGGGAGGGAGAGCATGGGAGGAAAATTACCTCTAGATAGGCAACAGCGGTTGGAGGGAAAGGGAGGGAGAAGGAGAATAGCATGGATGGTGGAAAGAGATCCTCATCATTATACAATATACAAGTATGAAGATGTGAATTTGGTGTCAACATACCTTATATACAAACAGAGATATGATAAATGATGGTATAAAGATGTATTAAAAATTGTATGCAAAAAATAAGAGATCTCATGTATAATGGCATAATTTGGTGTGAACATACTTTATATACAGAGTTACAAAAATTGTGCTGTGAATGGATAATTATGAATGTAATGCACTCCACTATTGTCATGTATATAAGAAATAAATTTAAAAAACAAAAAAAAAGAGGAGCAAAAAAGAGAGAAAAAGACTAATATAGAAACCATTAGTAATTTTTGGAAGTAATTTCATACCAGTATTATTTTCCTTGTATAAAAGATGACAATATTAATCAATCAACAAATATTCCTTGAACATCTATGGTGAGCCCAGTTTTATGTTATCCTACAAAGTAACCTACAAGGTTAAAGGTAAACACAAAATAAAGTCTGTAAAATACATACATTTTTCTCAGGGAGATACAGCAAAAAAACACAGTATATTATGAAATTCTCTAAATACTTATCTTAAATAACCACAGCAATAAAAAGCACAATAGACAATTATGATTAAAGACTATAAATGCTCAAAGGGAAAATTATTTGGGTTGTCGTCTTAACCAGAAGCCCTGGCCATTGTTTGTTTTATACTGCAGTCAACTGTATGTTCAGTAGTGGTAGAATTTCCTTGGTATTCAGGAGCTATTTAGGTATGTTGGATAATTTACACTGTTTCTTTGAAGAAAATAATACATCAAAGAGCTTCCTTTGCCATGAAAAAAAAAAAGTATTTGGGTTGTTTAAAAAGCTATTTTTTACCTGTGGCGAAGAGTAGACAGGAAACAATATGCTACAAAATTAAGCACCCAAACAAAGTAATAGTTTTCAGGACTTCTTTTATATTAAGATCATTAGATCCTTTTTAATTTTTTTAAAATCCCTTTTAGCTTATGAATCTATCATATAATGTCATTTAAAAGATATACAAATAAATTTGTGTTAATATTTGTATTCCCTCTATTTTGTTGAAATAGTTTTTTATAGAGAATATTAATTTTCACAAAAAAGAGATCAAAATTAGTAATCATTCAATTCACAGTAGCTACACTGTGGAAACTACTTAGACACCCCTTCAATAGATGAATGGATAAAGAAACTGCGGTATATATACACAATGGAATATTACTCAGCCTTAAAAAAGAATGGAATTATGGCATCTACAAGTAAATGGACAGAGCTGGAGAATGTTATGCTAAGGCAAGTAAGCCAATCCCCAAAAAACAAAGGCCAAATATTTTCGCTGATAAGTGAATGCTAATCCATAATTGGGTGGGGGAGCAAGGGAAGAATGGAGGAACTTCGGATTGAGCAGTGGGGAGGGAGGGGAGAGGAAAGGGTGAGGTGGAGAAAGATGTTGGAATGAGATGGACATTATTACCCTATGAATCCGTATGACTGCACAAATGGGGCTGGGGATGTGGCTCAATCTTCAAAAAAAAAGATTGCACAAATGGTGAGACTCTATACCATGTACAACCAGAGAAATGAAAAGTTGTGCTCCATTTGAATAAAATATTATTTTTATAATTTAAAATAATTTTTTAAAAATTCTTCAAAATTAGTAATTATTATAAATCAAGATAAACTAGTCTCTATGATAAAAAGTTAATAGAATTTAATATTGCATAAATTATTTCATTAGGATAGAGATATGAAATTAAGTGCTTTCTGGATATTAATGTTTCAATAGTATTTTGAAAATGTAAGAGCTTGTATAGAAGAACCCAGAATGCCTAGAGATAAATCAAAGCAATCTGTAATTATTTGTTTTTAAAATAGTCTTTAAAAATAAACAATCTTAAATATTAATCTTTTTATTTGTTATTTTTAGATATATACTATAGTAAAGTGTATTTTGACATATTATACATACATGGATAACTTATTCTAATTAGGAGGTTATACATAATATGGAATTTCCCTGGTCATGTATTCATATGTGAACACAGGAAAGTTATGTCCAAATCATTCTACTGTCATTCCTAATCACAGTCCCCCTTCCCTTCGTTCCCCTTTGTCTAGCCTAATGAACTTCTAATCTTCCCCTCCCTTGTTGTGGGTTAGCATTCACATATCAAAGAGAATATTCAGCCTTTGTTTTGGGGAGGATTGGCTTATTTCACTTAGTATGATAGTCTCCAGTTTCATCCATTTACCAGCAAATGCCATAATTTCATTTTCCTTTATGGCTGAGTAATATTCCATTGTGTCTATATATTACACTTTCTTTTATCTATTCATCTGTCAAAGGGCACCTAGGTTGGTTCCATAGCTTTGCTATCGTGAATTAAGCTACTATAAACATTGATGTGGCTGTGTCACTGTAGAATGCTGATTATAAATCTTTTGGGTAAAGACTGAGGAGTGGAATAACTGGGTCAAAT